AAAAAAAATTAAAAAGAAAGAGGCGCCTGGGTGGCTCAGTTGGTTGAGCATCCAACTTCGGCTCAGGTCATGATCTCACAGTTCATGGGTTCGAGCCCCCGCTAGGCTCTGTACTGACAGCTCAGAGCCTGGATCCTGCTTCGGATTCTGTGTCTCCCTCTCTCTGCCCCTCCCTGGCTCATGCTCTGTCGCTCTCTGCCTCAAAAATAAATAAAAAAGAAAAAGAAAACAGAATGGAAAAAATGTGCAGGAGGAGGTTGGGGGGGAACAGTTCCAGAAGTTCTGGAAGGTGGGGGAAAGGAGGCAGAGTATGAAATGGGAGATCTCTACCTCACACCAGATACCAAACATCTGCGATGTAACCTGTCTGTAGTTATCAGCCACCTGAGTGAAGACAGGCCTGGCAGAAGGCGGTGGAAGTTTCATTAACCCAGCTGAGAGTGGGAGAGGTACTTTCTTTGTGGCCTGGGGGCAGGAAGGCCAGCCCAGCCCAGAGGGAAATAGGGGGTGGAAGGTAAGGCTGGCCCTGTGCCCAGCACTTGCATGAATCTTGTCAAGGTTAGCCAGGGTCGGCCTCGCCTGCCCTTCCCCGTGACGCCCGCACTTGGCCGACCACATCCTCTCTAATCGCCGTAGCACATGGCAGCCACTTCCGGTGTGCAGCGCCACGCTCAGTGCCTTGAATGGCCTACTTCCTTGGACAGCACAGAAACCACCATCGTTCCAGACACGCAGGCTGGAAACTTCGAAGGGAGCCGTGACTCATCTCTGCGTCTCACGACCCACATCCTGGCCACCAGGAAATCCCTCTGGCTTGAGCGTCAGAATGTTTCTGAAGTCTGACCCCCACAGTACCACTCTGGGCCCAGAGCCATCATCTCTCACCCTCGCTATGGCCGTGACCTTGGGGCTGCTGTCTTAGTCCCCCCGCAGAAGGTTCATTACGCGGCTGCAGAACGCTTTCACAGTAAGTGCATGATGCCACTTCCCTCTTCGAATCCCTCCTTGGAGGGCGGGCACTTGAAGGGCTCAGTGGTGGAGCCTCCGACTTCGGCTCAGGTCATGATCTCACAGTTTATGAGTTCGAGCCCTGCGTTGGGCTCTGTGCTGACAGAGTAGAGCCTGCTTTGGATTCTCTGCCTCCTTCTCTCTCTTGCAAAAAATAAAAGGAAAGGGGAAAAAATCACATAGGAATCCCTCCTGTGGCTC